AGGCGATACATGCACCCCTATGTTCACAGCAGCACTATTTACAATAGCCAAGACAAGGAAACAACCTAAATGTCCATCAACAGATGAATGGATAAAGAAGATGTGGTATATACACAGAATGGAATACTACTCAGCCATAAAAATGAATGAAATAATGCCATTTGCAGCAACACGAATGGATCTAGAGATTATACTAAGTAAAGTAAGCCAGAAAGAGAAAGACAAATACCATATGATATCACTTACATGGGGAATCTGAAGTATGACGCAAATGAACTTATCTATGAAACAGAAACAGATTTGCAGATACAGAGAACAGACTTGTGGTTGTCAAGGGGGAAGGGGGTGGGGGAGGGTTAAATTAGGAGTTTGGGATTAGCAGATGCAAACTATTATATATAGAATGGATAAACAACAAGGTCCTACTGTATATAGTACAGGGGACTATAATCAATATCCTGTGATAAACCATAATGGAAAAGAATATGAAAAAGAATACATATATGTATAACTGAATCACTTTGCTGTACAGCAGAAATTAACATAACATTGTAAATCAACTATACTTCAATAAAATTAAAAAAAAAAAAATGTGGAGGACAGAGGGCCATGTTCAGATGTGCTGTGTCTAATAGACAAAGTGCCATCTTAACAGAAACCTGTGCAACTCAAGGAAGTCAGTCACGTGGGCTTGTGGCTCAGGAAGAAAGGTCCAGGAGAGGAAAAAACAAGTGCAGAGGCCCTGAGGTGGCCTGTCTGAAGAACTACAAGGAGACCAGGGGATGAGAGTTCTTGAATGAAGGGCAGAGAGGAAGGAGGTGAAAGTGAAAAGGTAGCCAAGACCAGACCACGAAGGCCACACTAGGGGCTTTGGATTGTGTTCTATGTGACAGAAGCTACTAAAGGTTTTGAGCATGGGAGTGAGATAACCTGATCTACCTTTTAAATAGGCCATTCTGGCAGCTACAAGGACAACAGATGTTGGTGGCAGGGGATGAGAACAAGACTAAATCAAACATATTAAACAGGACTACAGAGCATTTGGGCTCAACTTTCACCTTGTAAATTAACTCTTTAAAACCACTGCATGTTATTTTAAAACCACTGCTGCTCTAACCCCTACAGCACCTTTCTGCAAATTAAAAAAATTTGCAGATGCAGCCTCATCAAATCTTGGTGGGTGGAGGGCAGCCCACAAGGGACCCCTCAGCCAACCACCCTGCCAGGTTCAGTCTGCCCTGAATTCTAGCATAAATATAACAAAGAAAGAGAAAAAGACAAACACTTTTTCATTGGAGGTAATTTACCTAATCATCCCTGAATTTTTAAATTTTTGATTTTAAGAATATTTTCACATTGGATGTCAACCAAACTCATGAGACGTTCAAGTTGATTTAATCACATTATCCATATTATATATATATATGTATATATGTATACATATATATACATATAAAATATTCCAGAAAAGTGATTAGACTTTGGGTTCATTTCTTTTCTCATTTTTTTTTTTTTTTTTTTTTGTCGTATGCAGGCCTCTCACTGTTGTGGCCTCTCCCGTTGCGGAGCACAGGCTCCGGACGCGCAGGCTCAGCGGCCATGGCTCACGGGCCCAGCCGCTCCGCGGCATGTGGGATCTTCCCGGACTGGGGCACGAACCCGTGTCCCATGCATCGGCAGGCAGACTCTCAACCACTGCGCCACCAGGGAAGCCCTGGGTTCATTTCTTAAGGAAGAGACTCAGATGAGTCTCTTTGAGCCATTTCCTCCCATTTCTATAAAACATACAGAGCCAGGGGTGACACAGTTTGTTTTTTCTGTTCGTTTTATTTTTCCTAGTTGTAAATAGTTTTGATGTGAAAATAATATTTTAAAAGCACATTTGGAGGCAATTAGAGGTTCTAGGAGTCCTATCCTGGAAGCATAAGCTTTTCCGTCACCGGCTGTTCGAAGGGTCGGTTTTTGGTTCTGGTCTAGAGTTAATAATCAAGGTGCCTCCAAGAACATCCAGATCCTTCACCTGAGCTCAGAGAACTGAGCTCCCCTTGGAAGGGAAACTGTTCTGAGGGCACTTTAGTCCAGGCAGATGGGAGACTCGCCAGGGTTGCAGGAGAGACACAACCACAGGCCAGCACTCCCAGGATGCTCCATCTGACTGTCACCTTTGACCAAAGAGAGGACGTTCATCCCATCCAGAGAAATGCACACACTGGTTGGCTCTGATGTCCTTATTTCCTCCAGACACCCAGAGTTTTCCTTCAGGGACAGCTTCCCAAACCTGAGAAGGACTTGACATCACCACTAGGTGTCTTCAGGGTCTCTCTGGACAGGTTTCGACTCCAGTCATACTTTCTATTCAGTTTAATCCAACTAACACTTCACTCAGGAAGGGGGACTCCTCATGGATCCAACTAACACTTCACTCAGGAAGGGGGACTCCTCATGGATCAGAGGCTCCTGAGGCGAATGGAAAGTGAACAATTCTTCCTTCTCTTCCTTTAATCTTCCACGCCATACTCAGTCCACACCTGACGCCCCTCCTAAACTCTCCACTGGTTCCCTGCTGCCTGCATTCTCTGTTTACTTTGTGGTGGTCTCCAGCAGTTCCCACAAAATTAGAATATTTCTCCCAAATGACAGTTAAAAGATATAAGGAGAGATAAGTGTGGTTCCCACCTCAAAAGATCTCACCTTATACGGGAAAGAATGAGCTCTACTAAAGGTGTGGGCGCCTTAGGGATCGAGACAGCCTGTCCCACAGCCCTTCTGCTGGGCCCCCATTGTGTGGGGGCATCACTGACCCGTCTGGACCCAACAGCAACCTCAGACAAGTCCTACCACGTCTATGCCAGGTGGCTCCACATTGGTTGCAGGCTGATCCTTGCAGAATATAAACCTGGGCCCGTGGCCAGGGTACTTCAACTCCTCAGAGGCTGTGCCTGGCTCTCAGGTCCCGGCCCCCTCTCCCTGCTCCCGTCTCTACACGCCGGCTTCCTTTGTCTGGACTCTCGGACATGCTCTTCCTGTGCCTGAACGCTTCTCACAACGTGGGATCCGGCCCTTCCTCGGAAAGCCTTGCCCACAGCACCCCTCCTGTTCCACGTTCTCACAGCACCTGTGGCTCTTCTCCCGAGGTCCTCACTGGAGTCTGTCATTCCACAGCCCTGTGTGCGCTTAGCCTCCCCCTCCACTGAGCTCCGCCAGGGCAGGACCTGCGTCCTTCTGTCCAAGGTTGCACTGCTGTTTATCACGGGACAGGAAAGCAGTGGGCAAGGGTTAGAACCTGGCTCCCCCAGAGCCCTGGCCTCCCCAATTCAACAGCTCTCAGTCCTCAACTTCCATGACAGCTGAATCTGCCAGTTTTCTCCTCTGGTGACTTCTTCTCAGGCTCAGCCACAGATTCTTCCTTCTTAACCCACCTCATAAACATTGAGGTTTCCTGGGACTCTGTCCTCTCCTCCGTTCCCTCGTCTGCTCAGCTCAAGGTTTCAAATGCTACCTTCTCACTGACGGCTCCCTGACCTCCCTGTTGAGTTCCAACCCTGTATACCTTCTACAGCTGTCCACTGGCGACCTCTACCCATATTTCACTCACATCTCAAATGAAACCCATGCCACACCGAACTCGTCCTGAACCCTTAACAAAGGGACCTCTCCATTTTCCTTTTTTTAAAAAAAATGTTATATTTATTTATTTATTTTTGGCTGCATTGGGTCTTTGTTGCCGCGCACGGGCTTTCTCTAGCTGTGTCAAGTCGGGGCTACTCTTTGTTGCAGTGCGCAGGCTTCTCATTGTGGTGGCTTCTCTTGTTGTGAAGCTTGGGCTGCTCTAGGCACGCCGGCTTCAGTAATTGTGACGCGTAGGCTCAGTAGTTGTGGCGCACAGGCTTAGCTGTTCTGCGGGATGTGGGATCTTCCCAGACCAGGGATCGAACCCATGTCCCCTGCATTGGCAGGCAGATTCTTAACCAGTGCACCACCAGGGAAGTCTCTCTCTCCTCTTTCCTGAACCCACTGCACGTGCCTTCCTGCAGGTAACGTCTTGCCTGCATTACACAATAATCTCCAGAAGATTCCCACCTCTAGTTTTTCCTCACTTCAAATCTAAGACCAACAGTGTTTCCAAAGTGACCATTCTTATTAAATTGAAATTGCATAATAAGGACTTTATGAATATATTCTCTGTGAAAATTTTAATAACATTACATGTAAATAAAGTCCCCTTTCATCAATACTCATTCTCGATCCTAATCCAAATGTAACTAGTTACCACCTTAGGTGTCCCGCGACCTTTCTCTCAGCACTTACATGCATTATTATGCATATAGACAAACACCCACGTAATTTTCTTTACACATAAATGGCGACATGTCATAATCATGCACCGTAACTAGCTTTAGTCCTTCACGTGCCTTGGAGCTCCACCCACACCAGTGCTTCTTGTTTCTGACTGTGGTGCTGTGTGCCAGTGTAGGGACCCACCTCAGCTTCTTTAGCTATGCCTTTACTGAAGGACATTTAAAGTGTTTCAGACTCTGACCATTTTTTCTAAAATATCAAGGACCATGTAATTCTTCTGCTTAAAATCCTTGAATTATTTCCAGTCACCCACGGACAGTTCCCATCTCTAAGAACTGTACCAAAGCACTTCAGAGTGTGGCCCCCACCTGGCTTTCTGATCTCATTTCCTTCCTCATCTCTTTCTTTTCCCACAACCCTGGGCTTCAGTCAGAATGAATTATCTGTAGTTCCTTAAATGGACTAAGTTTGCTCAATGAATACATGAAAATGTAGCCCTCCTCCGAAACAACAGGAAAGAATAAAGATCCTGAGAGATTTACCTGTGAAGTGATTATCAGAGATGACGCAGAAGTTTGTGACCCTTCTCCAAAACTTCTTGAGGACTGAGAACTTGGAGAAATTTCCCTGACCAACATCTCCAAGTTGCACATGTACTCATTTACCAGACTGCTGCCTGCAGAGATTCCCCACCCACTCACCTACAGAGGAGCCTCCAGGGCTTTCTTTCTCTACCTTCCAGGGATCTTCTCCTTGCTGCAACAGGGAGATCACCTCAGGTTTGGAAAATAGGAGTCCTGCTCATAGAAAAAAAAAACAAAAAAATAAAAACAACAACAAACTTGGTTTTGACACGAAGAGGTATCTGAGATCTGAGTGGAAACTTACAGGATGATATAAAGAGCTCCTTAGGGTGCTCAAGTTCTGCCCCCATGATGTGAGGGGTGTGTTAGGGAAAAAGCAAGGGACTTGTAAAACATAACAATGTAATAATTAGTTGCATGTTAGGAAAATACAATAAACATGTACCCTTGAAATAGGGTACCATTAGCTTTCTATAAAAGAGGAAATATATGAGATGTACAGACTAAATTCATATTTATAAACAGGTATCTATGGAGAAGATACCAGGTAGACTGTTTAAAATGAGAAAACACTATCTGGTTCCCTTTCAAATATGGATTATACAGTGTTCATCTAGCTGGAAAAGTGAACGGGAAAGGCAAGTGGTGGGTCAAAGAAGAGGGATGAAAGATGCTCTCTGCTTAGAGATGAGCAGACACATCATAGAACAATCATAGTGGGAAATGCCTGAACTATGAGGGAATTTCTAAAGTGCAGCTCTGTAGACTGTCCCATCCGTGGGGCATGAGGCATCCATGCCTATTAGCAGAAAAAAGTTTTTCAGGTTTATTTGTGGAGATCCAATTTGTACAGTGCTAAGGCAAAACTCAGCTAAAGTTTTGATGATCCATGGCTTTTATCCAGGGAGTCAGATGCTGAGTTATCCCAATTTCTAAACAGAGGAAATTTCCTTACCCAATGACACCAAGTTGCTATAGTTCTCCAGCATCACATCTTGGTACAAGTTTCTCTGTGAAGGAGCCAGCTTTCTCCACTCATCCCGCGTAAAGAGCACAGCCACATCTTCGAACGTCACTGACAGCTGTAGAGACAAGCATCCCAGCTCACCCAAGACCACCCATCACACAGGGTGAAGAGGGCTGCAGTGGGAAGTAGACAGGCTACCATGGAATGCTTCTATATTATTCTAGGTTCTTAAGGTTTCAAGTCACTGGTTTAATGAACACTTGACCTGTGACAAATACATACTGAGTACCATGAAGTACGAACCAGGCCCTGTGTTAACCAAACAGAGATGTGTGGAGGTATTAAGACCATTAGTGGGAGTGTTAATTAGAATAATCTTTCTAATAGCAATTTGGTAATACATATTAAGAGCTTTAAAATGTGCATACTTTTTAACTCTCCAATTACTATATTTGTTTGATAACGAACAGTGCAAAAAAATGCACACAAAAGGACATTTATTATGGTGTTAGTTAACAGCAGAGAAACAGAAACACCTACAACCTAAATAATCACTGACAGAGGCTTGGTTAAATAATTTAAGGGCACTATCTGTGTGCTCTCTGCAGCCTGAGGACAGTAATAATGGAAATTAAAACAGCTATCATTAACTGAATGCTTTCTTCAGGACAAGTACTATTCTTAGAGCTTTATATTAATCTTTAGTGTAAATCTTTATTTTACCTTCACAACAACGCTAGGAAGAAGGTACTATTATTGTCCTCATTTTACACAAGAGAAGTCACAGAGAGGATAAGAAATTTGTCTAAAGTCACACAATTGGTCAGTGGTAGTGCTGGGATTCCAATTCCAGGTGGATGTCTAAGGCTCCATTCTTAACCACTCTGTAAAACTGCCTCTCAAAACCTACCAAATAGTTAATAAATAAATGAAATAATCCATACAATGTACTTAAAACCATACATGGCTCATATTAAAGGTTCAGCTCTTACCTATTATCATGTCAATATAAAGTACTATGAATCATTAAAATTGATGGTGTAAGTCAGTATTTTTGACTTAAAAAGGCATTCATAATAATGTTAAGTATAAAAAGCAAGTTACATATCAGTATGTATAGTTTGGTCCCATTTTTGAAAAAAAATTATATATGTACATAGCAAGTGATGCTGAGAGATGCATAACAAATGGCTGACAGCAATCATCTCCAGATGGTGGGATTAAGGGTGATTTTACTTTTTTTTTGCTAAATATATAGACAAATACATGTACATACACACATCTATGCACATATGTACATTTACAAGCATATATACATATACCCATATATATATATGTGCATGTTTTATTCTCTATAAAGTTTTTTGCCATGCTCATGCAATATTTTTATAGTAAGAAAAGGCATTAAATTATTGGCACATTGGGAGGAATACAAGAAATGATCTCTGCTCTCAAAGAACTTACAATCTAACTAGCAGACAAGAAAAGTGCATGAATTTGAACACTAAAAGGAAAATGTGTAGCTGGATAGGACCATACACCATATCTGCTAATCCTCATTTTAGAGATGAGGAACACAAGATCCAGGACAGTCAAGATTCCAGGTCACATACTTTATTAATGGCAGAGACAGGATGATAACTAAAGTTTTCTTCCAACACAGCACTTGGTATACTCTCTCTCTTATCTGAAACATCCTATTACTGAGTTTTACACACAATTCCACACAGCAGGTGAGGTTAGGGAGAAATGTCACATAGGACTCACACACAGGGACAGAGAAAATTCTGGGCAAGAGAGCAGCTTGGCTCTGTTGGAATGGAATGTGAAAGCCTTAGAAAAAACCAGTCCAAATATGCAAAGGCAGGTCCTAGCCATAGCCTCAGAAGATCAACCACCATCACATTTCGTGGGTCCAAATGATATACGACATCGCACTGCAGAGAGCTCTGGTAACACAGGGGCTGGGCCTGCCATGTGTTCTGAGAGATGCACCAGAGGAATGGCTGGACAATAACCAGCATGAACTCAGAGGCCAGACATACCTGGGTTTGATTTCAGGTCACTTGACTTCTTTAAGCCTCAGTTTCCTCATGTGTAAAATGGGGGTAATAACTTCTGCTTCGCTATGAGAGTGAGAACAAAGGTGAAGCCCTCGGGATATTCCCCAGCAACGTTAACTACTATTGTTAGATGAAAATGAGTACAGAATGAACAGTATTTTCTGGGTCCTAAAAACACTGTACAGTTAATTTTTATCTATCAACAGTAATAGTATCATGTACTAGAATAATATTGTTTAGCTACCACAACCACCACATATTCAACATCAACTATGTGCCCGGCCCTTATTGAAACACTTGCCATGCTGCAATTCCTCTCATCTACCCTATGAGGTACGCATGGTTGTTATTCCCATTCTACAGGTGAGGAAACTGAGGCACAGAGAGATGCAATTGCCTAAGGCCCATAAATGGTAACAGAAGATACGGGTTCAAACTTGGCTGTCTGGCTTGAGAGCCCCACTTCTAACTGTACACCCTGTATACCTTGCTTCTCCACTACTGATATCCCACAACACCCTCCCTGCCACTTCCAGAGGAGTCTTCTCTCAGCTCTTAAAGTCAAGAGACCTCTCCATCTGTGTCCCCACCAAAATGGCTATCCTTTGTTCACACACCACCTCACCTGGATGGGGTCCCACCCTCATTCCCACAGAATAAAGATGACAATGGCAGGTCAAGATCAGTTTTCAAGAGAGTGATAGAAGCAAGGCACATGATCCAGAAAGTTAAGAGGGAGAAAAAACTAAAAACTCTGGACTGGGAAAAGCCTGGGTAAGGTATCATGAAGATTCTCAGGGGTGGAAAGCCCATTCTGGCCAAGGGTAGGGAGGGGAACATGACTGAGCAAAGGAGGCAGGCCAGAAAGGAACTCTGCCAAGTGCGCATGTTTGTTTGTTCTGACCCCAAGTGGTATAAAACATGTGGCATCCTACCTGTCAATTCAGTAATCATACAGTAAATTGAGATTAATGAATAAAAGAGTGTCTGTCAGAAAAAAAAAAAAAAGAAACACAACACATGGATTGGGGGGTTGGAGGCAAGCAATCCCTATGCAATTCACCATCTACCAGGATGGACCAACTCTTCAAAGGGAGAAGGACATGGGCTCCAAATCCTGGCTAAGACTGTACTGGGGACAGAACTTCAGTTTGAGGGTTAAAAAACAAAACTATTTGTCCGTAACACTTGAGATGGTAATGCACTCACCTGAGACCTTGCTTCCCTCTGTTCAGTAGCCATGTCCTCTTTCTGGGCAGTTTCCCCTTAGGTTGGGAGAAGTCTCCAGAAGCCAAATCTGAGAGAAGAAAATGGGAGCCAGGAGGAAGCCCCTTCTGCTTTGCACCCCTCAGAATCAGCAGCTCTGAAACCTTTACACCACCTGAGAATGATGCCATGTGCCCTCAGGAAGGAAGTCAGGAGCTAGGAGTAGACAGGACCAGAGAGAAGGGCTGGGTCCTGGTCCAGGCCCAGCTCTTTCCCTGGGTCAGAGGAAAAGGTCCTAGGACTCCATCAGCAGTAGCAGCAACTCCCTGAGCCTCACCGCGTGCCAGGCACTACCTATCAATACATCATCGAGTCCCACAGCACAGTTGGCACTGTCAGCACCCCATTTTATAGATCAGGAAACTGAGGGCAGAGTGGGATCAACTTGCCCCAGTCCACACAGCCAGGGAGGGTGGCACCAGGATTCCAAGCACCGCGGGCTCCAGAGCACCTGCTCTAACCTCCCTGCGTGCATGTGACAACTTTTCTCCACCTCAAGCCTTCCCACCCAATTCCTCCCCCTCCTGTCAAGGAAACAATTTCCAGATTTCTAGAGAAAGCTTTTTCGGAAAGGGAAAACATCAGCTCTCCTATGGCGGGGAGGGGGCTGCTGTCCTGAGAAAAGGGCACAGAAAACCAAAAACCTGGGTTCCAGTCCTGGCTCTGCCACTGGGGGAAGCCGGCGACTCACTTCTCGCGCAAAACAAGCCTGTCACTCGGGAGTGCAGGAGTGATGGTAAGGGGAGGAAATTTCTCACGTTCACTGCCGGCCCGAAACAAATTCAAATGCCGTAAGGCGCTGGGCAGGTAGCGCACTGGGAACGGGTCGGGAGGAAGCAGAAGGGTGGCTGGGTCCAGCCAATGGGGACGAAGTGCCCGACCTGTCTCGTTCACGGGTACTGTGGGATGGCTGGTGGCGGCAGGCGGACAGAGCCGGGGTGCCCGGCCCTCGGCCCGCCGGCGCCCACAAAGGCCCGGCTCGCGCCTCCTGGGCCTTTGTCCCATACCCCGGCGCCGCATCCTCCCGAAGCCCGGTCCTCCCTCCCGCATCCTGCCGAGCCTCCGCCGCTCACCTCACCCAGGCTTCGGGTGTTCCGCGGGCCGCAGGCGGGAGGCTCCGGAACTGCCACGGCCGAACAGCAACTTCGGGTCGGGACTCCCCGGGGTGCTGTCTGTGCCGACCTCAGCCCAGAACGCCGCTCACGCCAGCGACAAACACCCAACTCCCTGTGCAGGTCCGGAGCTGGGTAGTGCGGTGGAGGCGGGGGAACGGTCGCTAACCCCTCTGGGAAATGTAGTCCACGCGAGAACACAAGGATTCTGGGAAGTGTAGTTCTCCGCGCTTGCTGCGTGGAGAGGCCCGGCTGAGCCTGTCACGTGCCCAGGTACTCATTCTGGGCTAGTGGCCGCGCTCCGTGAGTTGCCGGCTCCTGGGTTCCCGGTTCTTCCCAGAGGAAACGGAGTTTCGCCGAGGACAGTGTATTGTAGCTCTGCATCTGCGTAATTGATAGTAAGGCAAGTAGACAACCTTCAAAAAACAAACCTATTTCTTCTTCAGTCTTTGAACAAGTATATTGGGCACCTGCTACGCGCCAAGCCCTATTGTAAAGGATTTGAAATACCTCAGTGAGCAAAACAGAGATCATTGCTCTGGAGAACTTTTTTGGGGGGTGGGGGTGGGGGAAGGAGGGAGGGAGCAGACAGTAAGCCATGAACATAATTATATAGCATTTTAGAAAATAAGCATTAACGGAAAAAGCGAAAGGAAAGCAGGGTTGGAAGTGTCTGGGGTAGGTACGGAGGCAAGTTGCACGGAATAGGGTCACGAATACTGCTCTTTGTTAACATATTAGGAAACAACCTCGATAAAGTAGAATGAGTATCCTTCCATAAGTTCTTGTTCAACTGCCTAGGCTATAATCAACTCATATGAATAATCATCATAGTGTCAACTTGTAAATAAAAATGCTGAGACTTTGACTGGATTCTTTGAATCCATAAATCAACCTGAGGAAAATTAATATCTAACAATATGGACTTTAACAATCCATTACTATGGTACAGCAATCTTTTTATTTAGGTCTCCATATATTTTCTCCATAGCAATATTACATATTTTTTGAGTTTTATTTGAGTATGTTTCATACTTTTTGAGGCTATTGTAAGTGGTATCTCTTTTTGAATTTCATTTGTAAAGTACCGGTTTTGTGTATAGCTTACTGCCTGAAGTCTTATAAATTCCAATAATGAATTTATTTTGTGTTTTGGATTTTCTATGTAATATACTATGTGAATGACAGTTTTGTTTCTTTTGCAAAACTTTTGCTTCTTTTATATTTTATTTCTTTTAATCGCCATATTGAGTGGGCTGTGATTTCTAGTACAATGTTAATATAAAGTCAAAGTAGAGGCACGTCAGCAAAATGGCTTAGCAGGGAACTCCAAGCCCACAGCCCCCCTTGGAAACATAAAAAGCAACTAGAAACTGGCTAAAATAACCATATGAAAGCTCTGGAAAACAGTAAAATATCTACAGCAAAAAACCCCCGAAAACTCAATCAAGGAAAAAACCACATTTGAAATCATGGTAATACTGTGATGTTTTTACTTGCCCTTGCCCCATCCCTTCCTCAGTGTAGCAAAATCTTGGTCTGGAGTGGCCAAAGCTAAGTTCCCAATTCCCTTGCTCCAACAGAGAGGGAACAGAGGAGCTTTTATTTGTAAAGTTCTACCCTGTCTGAGGGCTGCCAGAAGTACTGGGCTTTATCTTGTCTATCTCGGAACTCAGATGGGGAGAAGCAGTAGGCACTGCTCCTAAAAGTTGTGGGTGGACTACAGTCCCACAGACACCTGGGGCAAGACAGTGAGGGTAGAAACATAAGATAGACCATCTAAAACCCTGAGGAGAGGCTATGGTTAAGCTTTGGGAAATCAAGACTTAAAAGCAGCTGAAAAACCAACATAAGGCCCAACCACAAAAGACCTAAGGAGCTCTTAAGTTTTCACCTCCATCTGATCCCTAGGCTGAGAACAAGCCAGCTAATTAGTAAAGGACTGCTGTAGCAGAGAACCAGTCTGCAAAGACTGGGAGAGGTAACTAGTTTCTCGTTTTGTTCTGTTTTTTAAGAAAAGACAAAAAAGTATTAAAGAGCAGTTTTAGGTTCACAGCAAAATTGAGAGGAAGGTATAGCGATTTCTCATTTATTCTCTACCCCAGCACATCATAGCCTCCCCCATTATCAACATCACTCACCACAGTGGCACATTTGTTACAATTGATGAACCTACACTGACATATCCCAGTTACCCAAAATCCATAGTTTAGGGCTCACCCTTGGTGTTGTACATTCTATAGGTTTGAAAAAATGTATAATGAATGACATGTCTGCCATTACAGGGTAGTTTCACTGCCTTAAATCCTCTGTGCTCTGCCTATTCATCCCTCCCTGTTCCCTAACTGGCAACCACTGATATTTTTACTGTCTCCATAGTTTTGCCTTTTTCAGAATGTCATATAGTTGGTATCATAAAGTATGCAGCCTTTTCAGATTGGCTTCTTTCACTCTGTAATATGCATTTAAGTTTCCTCTGCGTCTTTTCATGGCTTGATAGCTCGTTTCTTTTTAGAGCGGAATAATATTCCATTGTCTGAATGTACCACATTTTTTTTTTTTTTTTTTTTGCGGTGCGCGGGCCTCTCACTGCTGTGGCCTCTCCCGCCGTGGAGCACAGGCCCCGAACGCGCAGGCTCAGCGGCCATGGCCCACGGGCTCAGCCGCTCCGCGGCATGTGGGATCTTCCCGGACCGGGGCACGAACCCATGTCCCCTGCATCGGCAGGCGGACTCTCAACCACTGCGCCACCAGGGAAGCCCTGAATGTACCACATTTTATTTATCTGTTCACCTACTGAAGGACATCTAGGTTGCTTCCAAATTTGGGCAATTATGAATAAAGCTGCTATAAACAGCCATGTGCAAGTTTTTGTGTGGACATAGCTTTCAACTCTTCTGAGCATGACTTCTGAATCATATGATAAGAATATGTTTAGTTTTGTAAGAAACTGCCAAACTCTTTTCCAAAGTGGCTGTACCATTTTGCATTCCCTTCAGCAAAGTATGAGACTTCCTGTTGCTCCACATCCTCCACAGCATTTGTCAGTGTTCTGGATTTTGGCCATTCTAATAGGCATGTAGAGGTATCTCATTGTTGTTCTAATTTACATTTCCCTAATGACATACAATGTAGGGTATATGACGATCTTTTCATATGCTTATTTGCCATATATCTTCTTTAGTGAGGTGTCCATAAAGGTCTTTGGCCCATTTTTTAATCTGGTTGTTTATTTTCTTATTGAGTTTTAAGTGTTCTTTGTATATTTTGGATAACATCTGACAGGTCCTTTATCAGATATATTCTTTTGCAGATATTTTCTCCCAGTCTATGGCTTGTCTTCTCATTATGTTGACAGTGCCTTTCACAGAGCAGACATTTTAAATTTTAATGAAGTCCAACTTAACAATTATTTCTTTCATCAATCATGTTTTTGGTATTGTATCTAAAGTCATTACCATACCAAAGGTCATCTAGATTTTCTCCTACGTTATCTTTTAAAGTTTTACATTTTGTGCTTTACATTTAGTTCTTTGGTCCATTTTGAGTTGATTTTTGTGAAGGGTGTAAGGTCTGTGTCTAGAGTCATGTTTTTTGCATGTGGATGTCCAGTTGTTCCAGCACTGTTTGTTGAAGAGACTATCATTGCTCCATTGTATTGCCCTGGCACCTTGTCAAAGATCTATTGGCTATAGTTATGTGGGATTTCTGTTGTGTTTCACTGATCTGTTCTTTCACCAAGATCATGCTATCTTGATTACTGTAGCTCTATACAGGCATATCTCGTTTTATTGTGCTTTGCTTTATTGCACTTTGCAGATATTACATTTTTTACAAATTGAAGGTTTGTAGCATTGTGCCTGGAGCAAGTCTATCAGTGGCATTTTTCCAACAGCATTTGCTCACCTTGTGTCTCTGTGTCACATTTTGGTAATTCCCACAATATTTCAATTCATTATGAATTCACAGTCATATTCATTACGATTATATTTGTTATGGAGATCTCTGATCAATGATATTTAATGTTACTATTGCAAAAAGATTATGACTTATTGGAGGCCCAGATGGGTTAGCAATTTTTAGCAATAAAGTATTTTTTAAACCTAAAAATAGGACTACCATATGACCCAGCAATCCCACTACTGGGCATATACCCTGAGAAAACCATAATTCAAAAAGAGTCATGTACTACAATGTTCATTGCAGCACTATTTACAATAGCCAGGACATGGAAGCATCCTAAGTGTCCATCGACGGATGAATGGATAAAGAAGATGTGGCACACATATACAATGGAATATTACTCAGCCATAAAAAGAAACAAAATTGAATTATTTGTAATGATGTGGATGGACCTAGAGTCTGTCATACAGAGTGAAGTAAGTCAGAAAGAGAAAAACAAATACCGTATGCTCACACATATATATGGAATCTAAAAAAAAACAGGTTCTGAAGAGCCTAGGGGCAGGACAGAAATAAAGACACAGACATAGAAAATGGACTTGAGGACACGGGGAGGGGGAAGGGTAAGCTGGGACGAAGTGAGAGAGTGGCATGGACATATATACACTACCAAATGTAAAATAGATAGCTAGTGGGAAGCAGCTGCAT